ATCCATCATGTAGCCAAATAGAAGGAATTGTAATTTTTTTCTTCCTGTTCATAAATTAAAACCAAACTGCTTTTAGAGTGAATTACATACATGTTCCTTCTCACTATATTAAAATGTTGTTACATCAACATACAATATTCTATGAATTTAAAAGAAGTACTGAAACAAGAATATAAATCTATATATAATGCAGTCCTTTGACCTGCACATTTGTGAATGTATTAAATGCACAGTGACATTAGTCAATAAATGCTGTAAGAGCAAAAGCGTAACAATCTAATTTCTGCACCAGTGATCTGGAGTTCAGAACCCTAACTTTTTGTTTGTTTGAATTTATGCCACACAACACTGTAAAGGTCATATGATGAGTTTTCAGCTACACTGGCATGGAAAGGCACCCAAGTTGAACCACAAACGTTCTATTAGCTGGCTGGACAGCTTTATTGCATGAAGAAATCCAAAGTCCCTGGTGAAATAAGAACCAACAGTGGTGAGGGGCAAGTGCTTTGAAATCAACAACCTTAATCACTACGCCCTTCCAAAGTTACAGTTCCAACCAACCTACTGAATATTAAAGAAAGACACCAGTTAATAATTAAAGACATCTTGAAAGCATAGCTCTTTTTGCTAAGGGTATTTGGTGCATATTTACCAAATAATTTGATATTTAGATTCATGATACAAAATGGTGCATTCAATATTATTACTTGTATCTGACACCAGAGTCATTGATTGAATTGTTTGAAATGCCTAGATTGTTCTTGGAGTCTGAGTGAACTTTTTACTGAATTTACTTTATAAATATCAAACAAACAGGTAAGAAATACTAACAGATGAAATGGACATATAATGATGTATATTTAAAGTTTGCCAGCCCTGAACAGCACATTGACTCAATACACTTGCACACAGGCCTACCACAAGGATGATAATTATATATTTTAAAACAAATCCCCTGGCCTAGATCGTTATCAGTAACAAACTTTCCCAAAAGGTTTACCAATGCACTTAGTTATGCACTTAGTTATGGAGGGAAAGATCGCTAAAAATATTGTTATTTTTTGTTCACACAGTGATATACATGTATCTGACAGACTCATGACCTTTTGTTATTGTAAAAAAAAAGTAAGCTGGCATGTCAATGCTATTGCATGAAAGATTGGAAGTTGAAAAAAAAAGATATATACAACTTTCAGCTTTAGGTTAACCATATCCATTTTCAAAGGTGCTAAAAAGGGAAATAACTTGGGGGAAAAAATTAAAGCCGTTCTTATTATGTACTTTGTATTGATCAGTGTGTAAATTATGAAGAAATTGGTACAGGTAGAACCTAAGATATATCTGAATTACCTGTTTAGGTAAACCTAGTACAGACAGACAGATGGACATACAGTTCAATTACTATATGCCAAGAGGCATTAAAAAGCTTGTTTCATCTGGTTTTTCTATACTACTGTATACTGTGTAGGCTAGTAGGACATTTATGATTCATCACACAGAGAAATAGTGGAGAAATGAGGACAAAAACTGGGGAGTATGCCCATCTGACAGTGCAGGGGCATTTAGCCAAGATTACCTATCTGAGTTATAATCCCAGACCAGAGTTGGGCCTTTACTGTTGCAGTTTGAAGACTTACAACTAATGCATCATCAAACCTATCTAATGATCAATTTAGTTATACATATTGACAGGAACAGCCACATCCTAAATGTATTCTGAGATGATGCATGCTATAACAATTGCCAAATAATCTTTATCATACCTCACGTCTTTAACTTTATCATACCTCACGTCTTTGATCTTATTTAGATCTTATCTGAACTCAATATTTGAACCACATTTAATTTGACAGCATACAGATAAATATATATAAATATAAATAACTGTACATTGCAGTTTATCACTTTATGACCTTTACATTATTTCTGAAGTAAATATAACAAAAACTTCAATAATGTTTGCAAAGCTTTAAATGTCTTACTAAAACTATTTCCCATTATTTTAGATAACACCAAACATTATGTGAATAGTACAAGCACTTGTAAACTTTTAGTTGCTGGCCATTGTATGTAGAAAACTGGCTATTCTGTGTCAAAGACCAAAGGATTTGACGATAATAAACAGCTTATGATAGGATTCTGTAGTTCTCAGATTTTTTTTTAAACAAAATACTTTAAGGGATTAAGTGGGCATGTGTTGTTATTGTATTTAATAAAAATAAATAAATCTACATACAATGTATACACAATATAATTCATGACAGCCAGACATTTTTGTTACACAAGAATGAACAAGAAGGCTCTCAAGGTCAGCACAAGTATCACAATTAAATAAAGCACCAATGCATACCAAGGCTCTCTTTCTAAATCAAATTTAGCTAAATTTTGAACAATAAGACCAATTGACTCTTTTCTAGCAAGTATCAGTGAAATCATATTCTCGCTTAATTGGAAACCTAAGCTCTTTTTGAAAAATATCGCTAAATTCTAATTGGAAAAAAAAGCAGGTTTAAGTTCAGATTTTTGGGAAAACTGCATGATTTTAAAGAATTTTTCAATTGGGAAGAGGCCCTTTTTCGGAGTCTGTTATATACATAGGAAAATCACTGAGAGTCAATACTGAGGTCCATCTGCTAAACTTACTTTTATGATCTGATATTTCAAAATCAAATTTAACATGGCTTGCATTGAAGTTATATTTCACACTTATAAACAATAAACATTACAGCTATTTTCTCATGTGTCTCACAGTTAAGTTTGTGATAACAAAACAATTTATGAAAATGACTAGTCTTTGAGTGACAAATAAGATATTAGAGTTAAAAAAAATGAAAATACTCTTTCAAAGTAAAATTCCTTGTTTAGAAGTTGAGATAATTCTTGAAATATAGGTGCAAGAGTTATAAACCTTATCATTATACATGATGTGGGTGATGACAAGTAATTTTGAAGTTTTAATGTTAATCACAAAAAGAAGTAATGGTAAAACAAAAAACAAGCAAAATTCTTAGGGCAGTGATTTTTTTTTATATTTTCAAAACAACCTGTGGCTTTCTGAAGCAGAAAATATAGTGCGATAAATCAGAAAAGGGGAAAAGAAAATTCCAACAACTGACCACACATTTTATAAAATTCAATTCAACATGCATGGTACATAGTAGTGGCTATATATAGCGTCAGCTTTCTGTCTTCTAGCTGATCTCAGTCAGCTGCTGTTACGTCTTGGTTCTAGTGACGTTTTAGGGGAAAATAGTAGCATTTTTAGGGGAAAAAAGGGGAAAATCTACCTATTTCTACTTTATTCGGCTGTAAAATACAGGGAAAAAAGTCACTGTAGGGAGATGGATGCAAAAGTTATTAACCTTATCTGTTATCATAATTATATGATGGGGTGATAATAAGAGTAACCAAATTGAAGTGTTGAAGCAAATCCATTAAAATGATTTAGAAATAAACTTTAATAAGAAGTTTAAATGGGAAACAATTCTGGAAATATGGATGCTACAGTTTAATATGAACTTTATCATATAATTAAAATTTGGGTGATAATTAGGCCAGGGTCATACTTTTTAACAGATTATCCCTCAAAAACTTATAATAATCAGAAATCGGATGACAATACTCCATAATTATACTTTTGACTTAAGTGACTTTAGTCTATGCAAAAATTGAAAGATAAATAAATAATATAATGTACTTCAACTTCACTTTTTACAATTAAGGAACTAAGTATGAAGGTGTTTCAATGTTTTTCAGTATGATACACAATTTCAATTTGACATTATTCTAAATGCCGAGCATAAAAGTCATTACATTATGATTAACCTAAAAATTTACAGTAAGATATTTTTTGCAGTACTGAAGCAGCCAATTTTATATTTAAAAGCTAGATTGTGTGCATTGTGGGAAAATCCCCTCACAATGCACGCATATCTATTGACTTTAATAACCTAAAAGTGAGTAAATTCCATCAATTTTATTGTCAGTTAGTCTGGACATCCTTTGTGGCTATGTTGTAATTCAATTGAAACTTCAATATAGCAGTACAATTGTCAGTTTTAGGGTACTTAAGATAGTAAATCAGGCAATTAGCCAAATAACAGCTCCACTAGTCTATATAGCATTAATAAACATGAAAAATTCAACATATACCAGGGCCAAAACACTATTTTTTGGAAAGGCGCTCTGAGCCTTTGTCTTGGGGAAAATAATGTGTGATTTTGGCATACTTTGGGAAAAAACACAAACTTATAACAAGTTCTTCAAAATAGAAAAGCAAAAAAGCACTCGGAAATACTAATAAGGCAGTAAAAGACCTTAATTCAACACCAACATTTAATTTTGTTCTAAATTCTATAGGAAATTTCAAAAGACTGGGGAATTTTGAGGACCAAACTGGGGAAAAAAAGAGAGTAGTTTGGTTGGGGAAGCAGCCTATATTCGGCCTCTACAAAGAAGGGTTTTTTGGCCCTGTTAATACAAAGTACATAATGTTAAATCTAAAGGGAAAGTAACCCTGAAAATAACCCTTAATATGGCCACAAAAAAAAGAGGTATTTGTTTGGAAAAGGCAAGTGTACAAACTATGCATTAGAACTTTGTCTTTGAATGTAATGTACCAGTACTGGTTCCTAGTCCAATAATTTACCCTCAAAATGAAAGCAATAAGATAGACTAAATTTAATTATTGTTCAAGCTGCTATCATTTAAATCTCTTTAGGGTTTCTTTGTCATCTTGTAATAGAGTTGTAATGTTGTATTGAATTTAAAAGCAATCAATTATTTGGAATCTTTCCTAATCAATGAATAATGTAAGAAAGATGTAATGACATATCCACTTTTATCCTGCACATGGAAATGTCTGTTTAAGATTTGTTCTGTATATTTAAAGTCTAAAAGTACATAAATCAATGATGATGACTGACTACTGACAACAGACATTACCCATAGCAGAGTGACTAAGCTATCATCGGGGATGTCCATGTTGGGTATATACTCACATTTCTAGCATAACATCAGCCAGGAATGCACCATTGTATAGATCACTGTACTTTAGTTTTGGCGAGCCAGATGGTCTAAAAGTGTCCACCTTAAATATAAAAGAAAAATAAAGCATTTCATAATGTTATAATGAACCTTGTATAAATTTGTCAAACATCATGTCATAAATTTATAGAAAGAGAGGAAATCAAAAAATATTTTACCAATTCACCAAACTGTCTTGCAACAGGCTGATTAATACATACATGTGTATCTCAAGAATACATTTTTGGATTAAGAAATTAAACAAGAGCACCGCTAGGCGGAGCATTATATGCCCGAAAGTGTTTTTTTTAGTAAGGGATGAAGTATTTGTAAGACATTGGAATTAAATTAAGTATTACCTCCTTCAAAAAGAAATCCTCCTTAAAAGCCCTTTATAGCTGAAGAACCTTAATATATATACAGTTGCTGTTTCCAAAGCACCACCATCAAGTTGTTATCTTGTAAGTAAAAATGCTACGACGGATGGAAGGAAAGACGCCAGGGGTAAAACATAATATAAGCAAATTTTTTAGGGCATATAATTAATGTACTCAATATTATAAGTGATCATCCTATGAAGTTTGACTGTTGTAAAACTGTTAACAATATTAAGGTCATTTGATATTGACCTTTGACCTTGTGACCCCCATTATAGATACATGTATGGATCTTTTATTCAATATAGGCAATCATCCCACCCCAATCATCCTATGAAGTTTGAACACTAAGCCAAATGGAACTTGTGTTATGCTCCAGAAAGCACAAGTTGCTGAGCAAAACCTGTTTTCAGATTTAAGGTAATAGTGGCCTTGACCTTTGACCTTGTGACCCAAAATGAATAGGGGTCTTCTACTCAACATTGACAGTCATCCCATGAAGTTTGAACTCTTTGGGCCAAATGGAACATAAGAAATGCTCCAGAAACCACAATTTTCAGTGTAAAGATCATTGTGACCCTGACCTTTGACCTTATGACCCTAAAATCAATAGGGGTCATGTCTTGGACTTGGCTGTTCATCCTATAAAATTTTACAGCTGTAGGTTGACTAATACTTCAGTCATTGAGCGGAAACTGTTTTCAGTTCAAAGGTAATACGTGTAGTGACCTTGACCTTTGACCTTGTGACCCAAAATCACTAGGGGTCTTCTACCCAATATGGACAATAATCCTATGAAGTTTGAATATTGTGGGCAAATGGAAATTAAGTTATGCCCTGAAAACTGTTTACAGTTTTAAGGTAAAAGTGACCTTGACCTTTGACCTTGTGACCCCAAAATCAATAAGGGTCTTCTACCCAATATGGACAATCATCCTATGAAGTTTGAATATTGTGGGCCAAATGGAACTTTGCTTATGCTCCAGACTGTTTTCAGTTTTAAGGTAATTGTGACCTTGACCTTTGACCTTGTGACCCCAAAATCAATAAGAGTCTTCTACCTAATATGGACCATCATCCTATGAAGTTTGAATATTGTGGGCCAAATGGAACTTAAGTAATGCTCCGGAAACCAAATTGCTAAAGGACGGACAGATGGACGGACGCCAGGGGTTATTACATAATATGCCCGTCATTCTTTAGGGCATATAAAAAGACAAACAATGAATTACATCTAACAGTTCATAATCATAGCTGCACTACATGACATTTGTATTTTTTATTATTTTATGTTAAAAAAAAACTTACGGCCAACCTAAACCCCAGTGTTCGAAATTAGCAGTAGTCCTATAGCCCCGGACTACTAAATTTCTCCTCGGTCTACCAACTTTTCACAACAAGCCCGACCAGGCTAATGTATTTTCAGAGGCAATATAAACAACTGTTTTGAACAAATGAATTGTGCTAGTGAAATGTCTTTTGGGCTAGTGAATATTCCAATCTGGTAGTCCGACCAGCCTAGTCGATTCAAATCCTAATTTCTTACACTGAAACCCCCACAGCCCGAGTGGCCATGATAAGATATAGTCAATTATTCCAAGGCATTTCCAACTATCACAAGGGCCGATTGATATAATTATGTTCCTAATGCAAATTAACTAACCAATTTCAAAAAATATTCCCAACAGCAGCCTAAAAAAATAAACTGTTTTGATTTCTGACAAAAATTTACCTCTTTTGACATGTTTCTGACCCGAGCTGAGTTGGTATTGGGCTGAGTTGACCCTTTACCAAAAATGTCTGTTTTCTGAGCAAAAATGTTTCGATTTCTTTCAACTGCATAATGACTTTATTTTGTTTCTGAAGTATTAGATCTAAAACGATGGTAGTTTTTTTGTTATTTTCATGCTGCTTTAAATATGCTTCAAGTTATTTTATACATTGTATAAATATCTTTGTTTTAGAAAATGACATGCAATATGTAAGCAATATCATTTGTTGGCGAATCTTCATGTCTGTGGTGTGAAATATAACGAAAATTCATCGTAAGGTGTCGAAATATTGATAGACCTTCTGTAGTTTAATCTACAGATTTAAATATTAAATTCACCTGTTCAATCGGTTAAATGTATCTTACCCATATTACAAGCGGACATTCCATGTAATTTGGCTCGTTTGAGTCGATATTGCAACTAGCCATTCTTCTTTCTTGCTCACACTTGGAATTCGATAAATCCATTAATGACATCACGACGAAAACTAATAGCACTCACTTTAAATCTAAAAAAGACACTGTACACATTATAATTTAATGTATAAATCCAGCAAACTTTCATTTTTCTGAAATTGTTTCCAAAGTTTTTTTGTCAACCATTTCGACAACGCTTCGTTGACTACACGAGACCTTTGAACTTCTAACAAATATTCATGTTCGTAATGGTTTATTGTCATCGGTGTATGGAGTTTTTTTTATAAAAAAAGACGTGATTGTTAAGTATTTTTACCGAAAACTATCAATCACACACTTTCTGTCAAACTATCATATCATTTGAGGCAAATTACTATTGCTGCTATAAATGCGTACTACTTCGCGTGAAAGTAGTTCGGCCGGTTCCAACGACGCAAAGGGGAAAACACTCTTAAAATATAATATTGGTTATTTCCCTTATAGAAACAAATAAGTTCGTTTGGGTGCCCTCCCCTTAGACAGGTATGAAGCACGAAGCTCGCACGAATGCCGCGTGGACTTTCTCTGGGAGTGGGCAAAATTAAAAACTCTGAAACCAAAACTGTGGGTATTATGTTTGGAAGTCGAAATAAGCACAATTTGAAGGTATCTTTAGGTGGAACTCCAAACGGTTCGATTTCTAGGCTTACTTTTGGATAAAAAATAACTTTCGGGCCGCATTTCAATGATTTGGTTAACAGATGTTAGAAGGATTTAAATGTCAAGAGGATGTTAAAAGGCACTGATTTTGGGACTGATAAAAATAGCCTTTTACTACCTTATAAAACCATAACCTATTTTGAACGTATATATTAAGGATTTATCTGGAATAGAAGATATTGTGCATTAATTTAAACAAAGGTCGACAATGCATTGGGCCGGTATCCCACCTCTCTCAATTAGAAGATAGTTATTATAGTTTAATTTCAACTAGTCTATATGGGCATCAGTTTTGTAAACAGCAAATTTCACCAACAAATGGGCGAAAATCACAGACTACTGGTACTACACCCGGTTCGAGCCTCAAGTGCAGACGATTTCGAGCCGACTCTTCCCATGACAAGTACAAATGTTGCTGCAATGCAGCGATTGCAAAAAGAATGCGCTCATTACAGATCCCTTTATACCAAATCATTCCTGCCCACAAGTCATTTTTTATTTAGATTAAGTTCTAGTGTACATTATCAAAGGGCATACAAGCAAGAAATGCAGCAAGTGACGATGACCTAGTAGGCATCTGATGACCATATATTCTTATAAACTTTTCAATGGTTAATTGGATTTTACCAGAATTGTACATGTATATCATAGATGAATGGACGTTGCAGGCGAATTAAGTACGTCCTCCGTTGCAGGCTCTACGACCAGCAATCGTAACAGAGGCCGATAGTCTGGGACATATGGGAAACCGGCGCCCAGTATAAATAAAACCAAAACAACAACAACAACGAAAGACATTGTTCATCATGAACTTTGGTAGGCTTGAGCTAGAGAAAAGAATATTAATGTATTTTCTTTGGAACATTTAAACATGTAAGCATTTGCTTAATATTATTATACTTTTGTGGATCATTTTTACTGTGACTAAAATAGTACTCGTTTAAATTTCATTGATCCTTTAATTTTTTAACTGTAAAAAATAGTTTCTTATTTCTGCTTCCGGGAATATATCAGCAAACCCGTGCCTAATAATATCACTTTATTCATTTAAAGCATGACCGGTAGCAAGCAATTTGCTAACCATATTACATTATCTTTTTAGTAATGATTGAAACGACATTTAAAACAGAAAAGAGTTCAGTTATGCGACACAATTTATAAGTAATTACAAAGTTGTATAAAAATTTTACAACGCATGTTTGTAAATATTTAATTCATTTTAAAAATTAAAAATATTAAATATACAAAATATTTGTTTTTTGATGAAATCATTAAAATAGTAAAACGACATGCATGTATAATTTGCTGTTCTTTCTATTTCCATCTTGAAAGAGTCATTCAGATTCTAACATGATAAAGAAACAGATGTAGCAACAGAGACGAACAAGCAACTTCACACTCTCGTGGCCAACATAATAAAAAAGCAGATGTAGCAACAGAGACAGAGATGGAGACGAAAACCGCAACTTCAGACTCCCGTGGTCAACATGATACAGAAACAGATCTAGCTAAAGACACAGAATTAAGAAAAACGTGAAAGTTTCTCCACATGATGACGTTTGGAAAACGTTTTAAAACGGGGAATTCCCTGAAAATTCCTTACTTGTAAATGAGACGGACAGTTGTTTCATGTTAGATGAAATGACCTTGCAGGAACTTATAGATAAAAAAATACAAAATTTACTCAATGAACGCAGACAGCAAGCTAATAAAAGATCAAAATATGAAGATGAGTTTACCACATCTGATGAAATGCCATTGAAACTCCTAATCGGGATCATTTGAGTACCGCTCAAGCCGGTTTTAGGGGCGTGAGGGGTGTTGCACTTATTCATTTTACCTCATATACAGACTCAATCAAACCGAGTCTGCAATTTTCATGTAATTTTGTTGTGATTAATGCTTCCGAGGGATCACTTTGTTTCCAGATTTTTATACTTCACAACAGCAGGTGTCAAGTGCTGTGTGGCAGCTGTAAAAAGTTGCCCCGTACCTCACTTCAGTTTGGTCCTCCGGGATCATTGATGCCAGGACTATTGAGTGTTGGGAATTGAGTACCGCCCAAGCCGGTGCTAGTGAGTTTACCACATCTGATGAAATGCCATTGAAACTTCTAATCGGGATCGTTGAAAACATAGTGATCATAAAAAACAAAGTGATCCCTCGGAAGCATTAATCACAACACAATTACATGAAAATTCCATACTCGGTTTGATTGAGTCTGTACATGACGGATAATGAATAAATGCAACATCCCTCACGTCCCCTAGGGCGGTCTTTAACCGAAATACATACTACGACCCAATCACTAATATTCTTTTCGACACCGTCACAAGTAGGCAGAAAAACGAGGAGGGAAAATGGAAAAGGTCGGAATTGCCATGTCCGAAAACAATCGTAAATTTCAACAAGTTTATGGGAGGTGTTGACAGACATTAGTATTTGAGAAGTAGTTACTCTTTGCTAAGATGCAGTACATGCTGGTGGACGTATTTCGCCTGGTTTAGGATAGACATGGCATTAAGCAACAGCTACCTACTCTACAAGACTGTTCACCCAAAGATTACTCACAAGAAGTTTCAACTGAAGATAAGATATGCACTGTTTTGTGAAGATTCGGTTTAACAGTCAAATATATATTTCATGTTGTGGTTGTGACATCAATCTAACTTGCTTTAAAAATATAACACACAAATATTGAAATGTACCTATTGTTGATAGGAGAACGAATTGCAATGTAGCATTCATTGATACCAACCTTAAATCGTACGACTTGAGGACATTTTGTTTTATCTTTGTTTCAAAACGTAATGTGTCTATATATGTAAGTGATTAGTATTCAAGAAGGAGAGTTTGTAAATGGCAATATTGAACAGGTCTTTATGCAAACACTCTGCTGTTATTTAAATTATAAAATTATGTAGGATGCGTGACTTATGCTATGTATTTTGTATTTTTTCTTCGTTCGATACAACTCAATCTATTGTTGTAGTTGTTTGTTACAAAATAAATTCAGTGCGTTTCAAAACGTAAAAAAAACATTAAAATGTGTTGCCTCCATGTGAACATATTGTAAGACAACCATAGCATATCATTTCCTAGTTTTATTTTAGCTTTCTACGTTTTCGCTGTTTCGCTTTGTAATGGAATATTGTTTTTGTGTGGGCAGACACAACGTACTTAACCGTTGTTTCCATGTGATGCTACTGCACATTTTACCTAGTATATAACCATTTGTTTATATTTCGGTAAAGTTATGTAACGTAATCCATAGTGTATGAAAATGTAGAAAACGTATATGTATGAAAATGTAGAAAACGTATGTTGAAACCATAGTGGCATTTTCATTAATAACTGTGTAAGTAACCGTAATGAATGATATTGAGTAACAGATCCACAGAGTTTCAATACGTAATATTTTGAAATAAAAAATTATCAATTTTTACAAATATAGCTGGACAAATTTAAGTTTTGTTCTGACGTGCAACTGATTGCTTCAGAATTTGACTTATACAGAAAACTTGAAAACATTTTAGTTGGTATCTTAAACTAATGTATTTTTTGTAATTAATTAAAATTGTTATTGATAATTGATTTCATTATGTGATCTTAGCAATTTGTTAACCCTTTATCGTGATCGATATCGTGGATAAAATGGACATTAAGCAAATGTTTCTGAAGATCTTTTTTTCAAAACTCAAAGTGAAATGAATGTAAGTACATGTCAAAGTGAGCAAATCATTTAGACATAAAACAAAAAACGGTGGCCTTTCTACGCTCAATGGGTATGGCTTTCAGGAAGGCCATTTTTCATACCGTTTAATTACTTTATGGATGCCCTATGTGTTTTGAGAGATCGATTTTTCGATACGTTTCATTCCGCTAGGTCCGTCGAAAGGATATGAGGAAATTCAATAACATCATGTTCATGCGAGTCATTTGAAGATATAAAAGCTTTATGAAGAGTTGAATATGTTTGCATTTCATTTCCTGCAGAACTCTCCAGTTCGTTATTTATGATAGCGCGAAAAAATGGCCGTGCCTTTCACAATGTGAAGGTCATATCTATTTACAGATTTCATGTACAGCAAATGAGCAATAAATAAATACATAACCCACTGTGTACTACAAAATAATTAGTAATTTCCTGTAGAAGATACAAATGTAAGATATAAATGGCCAAATTTAAAGTGTATTCTTTAGTGTGCTTGCGCGCGCGCACGTTCGTGCGCGCGCACGCGCGCGTGAGTGTGTGTGCTTCGCCACCGGTATAAAACCATATGGGCGAGCATATGCTGCGTTTATAATCAGGGAAAAAAACTATTCTTTACAAGTACAATTTTTTTTAATATTACTGCACTGCAGCAATTGTGAAGCTGCGCTCATTACAGATACCTTACCAAATTAATCATACGCACAGGTCATGTTATATTTAGATTAAGTACCAGTGTAGCAATACCACGTGACCTGAGCGTCATTTTCGGCATCATTTCCAAGACAAATATTGCTCGATTCGAAAAGGAAAATAGCCGTAAGTATTTTATTTCAGAAATTCTGCACCGATTTCTTTGGGATATGCACCATTCTTCGGAGAAAAATTTAAGCTTGCCATAGAATAGTGTTTTTCCTTCACTATATGAGCCCATAGGTGTTCGGCGCGTTGATTGGTCACTACCCCCGGGCCAACACCCCCCCCCCCCCCCACTCTACAACCCTCC